CTTGCTGGTACTGACATAAAGATGCACAGATATTTACGTTTATTGTCTCTGTGATTCTCTATGGTTGTGTGTGGTGTCGTTACAAACAGAAAGATTGATTTTCTGGTTAGGTGGTTAAATTTGTGTATTGTAATTGCTGGGATAGAATATACTGACTAGATAAAAATCTTCCTGGCAGTGTGCCTTGTGTTCTGATGTACTCCAGCTGCTAAGAACTGGAAAAAATTATTTCCTATGTGATCTATATGTGACCAGTATCCTAAAGGATATTTCACATACATTGTTAGATTCCAAATGTTGATGACTTTTATTTTTTGTAAAGTCAGCTTAAAACAAATTGTGCTACTCTTTGACCTTTTCATTCCTACATGAAATGTCATTTTCGTGTAGTGCTTCCCTTCATTCATAGACGTATTATTAGATTCCAGGGCATAAGGGGAAAAGGCAATCAGCTGTTTCAGTCATGATTAAAGACAGAAATTTTCTTTCACAGTCGTATAATTTGAAAAAGTTGTTCCTTTATTGTTTCCAGATGGAAATAATATTTTATATTGCATTTTTCCTTCTAACTGAAATATGTGATTATATTTAGTAATGCAAAGCACTTTGTAAAAAAAAAATGTATATATATATTTATAAAAAACAACAGGAAACAGATGTTAAGCTTAGAATGTTGAGACGCTGTAAAGTATAATTACGCATTAGCCCATGATGTCCTTGAAGTTCTCTCTGGGATAGTAACTAATAGTTTTATTAAGTGATGAAATCTAGTATTCTGTGTGCAATCTGTGGTGTGGGAAAATCTGTCAGCATTGACTAAGTATGACTGTTTAGCGCATAGCTGTAATTTCATCAAACCTGTGTGGTAAAGTACTTCAATGTAGTTTTAGGTATAGGGAGGATAAAAGGTAAGACTGGAACAATCTTACCTTAAAGCTCTGAGTTAGAATGTGATGTTTATATCTGAACACTTACAAAGTTTGGAAGATTGATTTATCCAGATTTCTGACATAATGATGCAAAACTTCTGTTTAGTTCATTATTCTGTTTCCTTCTGAACTGCTCACTCCAAGTTTCTGGTTACAAAAGGTAACTTTAAGAACACCAGTGGTACTTAAAAGTGAATGACAAACAGTGGGTCATCAGATACTTCTGTCTTGTGTTTGGTTTGTGTTAATAATTTGTGTTCTGCTAAATTCACCAAGTTAATAGTTACGATCCTGAAGTACTTGGTGGTAAATCAGTTTATCAGTAGTGTCTTTGATTTAGATCTATGCCTGAAAATAGAGGAATATACTCATAGAATCATAGAATGCTTTGGGTTGGAAGGGACTTTTAGAGGTCATCAAGCCCAACCCCCCTGCAGGGAGCAGGGACAGCTTTAACCACATCAGGTTGCTCAGAGCCCCATCCAACCTGACCTTGAATGTTGCCAGGGATGGGGCCTCTACCACCTCTCTGGGCAACCTGTTCCAGTGCTTCACCACCCTCATTGTAAAAAACTTCTTTCTAATAGTCCTCAATAGGACTTCAGTCCTTAATGCACATGCAGCATATTTTGTGTAGCTTTACATATAAAAAGTAAGCAAAGAAAGGACTTCACGGTAGAAAGAGTTGCTTGCAACCTCCTTTTCTCTAGAAGGAGCTTTGAGTGTCCAGAACATACCTGAAACCTGTGACCACAATAACTAGGCTGTGTTAGGGTTTCCAGATACGTAACGTGCATTGTACATGCATTTCTGACATGTATGACGAGCAATTTACTTTCTAAACAAAATGATGGAGTGTAATTATGAATAATGGTTTTGAGCTTACTTTCATGGCTCTTACTGCATACAAGGACCTGTAGTGACAGTTGAAAAGTTCAGTTAATTAATGACAGGGGTTTTGTGTCCTGTTAGTACAGCACCAAGGGAAATGACTTTAAATGACAACAATTGTGTTCTTAATCCTGAAGGATATCGACAACAGTGATTGCAGAAGCCATATGATTTCTTTTTTTTTAAATGGGGGATACCTAGAAGAAGCAGCAGTTCTGACTAGAGCCTTGTTTAACTATGGCTGCTGAACACTGTTGGTTTAGTTCCTCTTACAGAAAGTGTAGCCGAAAGATCC